ACTTTGTTTTGATACCATAATAGATGTACGATTACCTTTGTTATTTGGTTTAGTGATCTTCATTGTTATTTTGACTTTCAATATGTCCTCCTTTTAACTTGACCAAAGTCTATTTTCTCACCTCCTAACTCTTTGTTATATATAATACGCTGAGTGGATTTTGTAAATTCTTGTTTAATAATACTACTTTGATAAAGCTATTAGCAGCAACATTAAATAGCGAGACGTCAGTAAACACAACAATATCGTTTTGTTTTTCATTCATTCATTGGGAAATACAAAAACTTTTGTCATTATGAACATCATATACCCAATGCCCAAATTTTTTCAAACTGTTAAAAGTGAACTTGGTTTGAACATGTATTAAATATGGATTACTTAGGTGATTCAGATGATGAGATAGGGTGTGTGTATGTTGTGTGAGTGTATGAGTGCGTCTGCCTCTTTATTTCTACCGATATCCACAATTATGCAGCGTCTAAAATCACTCGCTATTATTATATGACCCAATTAAGTCCAAGGTCAGACCAGTGGTAAAATCAAGTCACCGCATATATCATAACAATAGATTGCTATTGTGAATGGTCAAGGTCACCGGAAGCATCTTGTCTAAAACCTAAAGGCTAATATATCCAACATGTTGGCATTGTATATGATACTTTGATCGAAGATGGTTATCCTGACAAATTTATCAAGAAACAAGTGACAAAGAAAGCGGCGGAAAAGGTCTACTCACTATCCGTAAACAAGAAGCCTTTATATATACGGCTACAATTCATGGGCGATATACCAAGCGAGATAATTACGAAGAAATTAAGAAAATGAGTTCAAAGAACTTTTAATGCTGGCGAACTACACGTATTATTCTCTACACGACCGCTGGTGCTACCTCAACTGAAAGATGAAGTACCTAGACAAGCCACTTCAAATTGTATCTATCAATTTAACTGTGCTTGTGAAGCGAGTTATATTGGCCGTTGCTCTAGGCACTTGATTTTTCGTGCTCGAGAACCTATCCCATTATGGCTAAGTAAAGGTGTAATTAAAACTATTAACAGCTCGATATTAGACCATCTGGTACAAACCGGTCACAAAGCAAGCCAGCGTGGAAGAATCCTTCTCTATAATATACCGGGTGCCTAACAAATTATCAAAATCGTCGAAGCACCACATGCTCCAAACAGCAGAGGCTATTGCAATTCGCCTCAAACAACCAGTGCTCTGTGTTTAAAAGAAACAAGTCCCGCCCCTACTACTGCCCTGGCCCTCAGTAGAAACTATAAACTCATGAATTCGTACTATTATCTTTCATAATTCTTCGGACATTCAGTTTATTTTATGCTGATGCTATTGAACTGTACTCCATTGATATTATTATTGATTCGATGTTATTTAAACAACATTAATGTCGTTCATAAGACTAATTCATTCATTCATTATAATGTATATATAATTGTAGAACCTGATGATGAATTTATCGAAAAGAATACTCTTTGTTCCTTGTCCATTCTTTTGAAAATTTTAATGGACATTTTTAATCAGTTAGAATTAAAACAATTTGAGTTAATTGTATGAGTTAGAGAACCATTGAAAACAAGCAGAGAGTATTGGGCAGCTGTTTCATCCTAGTTTGGGAATAATCGGCAGGACGCACCCACTGGGTTTCGACGCCAAGACATTCCGATTACAAGGTAAGCTCGTAGATCATTCCAGGACGAATCAGGTGTCCAGTACTATCTGCTTGTTTTCCAATAACTCTCTAACTGTTGTCAACCTGTGACCAATTTTGAAACCAATGCGGGAATCATTTAAAACTAAGGAGTACTGAGCAGGTATTCGTCATAGCATGCGTGACTCTTTAGCACTGTGAAGAGAAAGAATACGAGCTTAAAATGTCCCTCATTTAGTCACTAGAATAGAATTCAGTGACCCAGGGTCAATACGTCATTTCAAGCTTGGTGTTGATGCTCATCAATACCATTTGGTCGGTAATTGTAACATATCACGAATTTTAAAACGATTAGTCCCTTTGATAAATTTCAATAAGGCATTTAGAAAACTTCATCACTTGTCACAGTAAAGAAAGACCGCGTCTCGAAAAGACAGATTCTGTACCAAAGAAAGCGATCCATCTTTATTAACCTACCATTCAAGGGTGACCAGATTATGCAGTTGACAGCCATCAAACGCACATTCTACGCCGCATCTCTTTTTCTCACTCACATGCCGAACATTTTTGATCCCTGTACCTACAATTAAAGGATGAAATTCTGTGGACTCTACTTCAAACTGTATCTACAAGTTCACCTGCAGCTGCGGTGACACCTATATGGGTAGAACCAATGTGGTCGAAAAGAACATGTTCCACAATGGTTACTAAATCATATAGAAAATCCCAATGCGAGTAATTTGAATAGAAATCCAGCATCATCCATTGCAAAACACTTATTAATGTCAGGTCATAAAATCAATATTAATGACTGTTTCACAATTATTTCACAACTCTAATTCAATGTTGGTTATTGAAGGTGATGGAAGCACTTTTGGGGATTAATCACATACAGCCTAAATTGTGTATACAAAACAGAACAATAGACTTCAATCTTCGCCTACCATGGACTACATGACCTATTTAAATATGATTGGTCATTAGTATGTACTTTTGTTTTTATTTAACTGAGTAATTGTCATGAACTTTATTTTATTATTGTTAACCATGTTAGTTGTAAAGCGGTTGTAAAGGAACTACGAAATCACGATATGATCTTGCGAAATTTGTCTTCTAAATGCCTTATTCAAATATATCACGAATTTAGTTGAATTTTAGATTTTCCCATCTATCGATTGGACCGAAGTGCTCGGTCTCAGGTTGACGTGTCTGTCGGCTTCTTGTGCAGATGCTTCGACGATGTCTGGGCATTTAATTTGTATTTAATTGGTGGATGGTGACTAGCAGTGGAATCCACTAGGATGCGCAATTCGTCCTATTTGGGACTCGTCAGCTGGATGTACCTACATTTCTCAGTGAGTGATGATGTTCCTACAGAGGCTCGAACCCAGTGTCCATAGTTTTGAGACAGAGCACTTCGGTTCAATCAATCGACGGGAAAATCTAAAATTCAATTAAAAATAATATGACCCGTTTAACAAGAGGTGGCTCTCATGGCCCAAGTGGTCTAGTGGATAAAGCTTTGGCGTTTAAAACCATGGACACTTGGTTCGAGCCTCGATGGGTACACCATCACCCACTGAGAAATGCAGGTACATCCAGTGACGAGTCCCAAGTAGGACGAAATGCGCATCCTGGATTCCACTGCTAGTCACCATCCACCAATTAAATACATATATCATGAATTGAAAAAAGTTTTAGTTCACGGATTATTGAATGATCAACGGAATGGCCTAGTAGCTAGAAGATCGTAGTGTGGTGAGAGCTGTCTGCAAGACAAAATTCTAGACAACAATTGACGTCTGTGTTTGTGTCTCAAATCGGGGTCATGAGCAAAAACAACAACAACAACAAAGCCTAACCTTCAGGAAAGTCGTGTGCGTTTGTTGATAGAGTAAAACTCCATTATGGATAAGATTTATTTTGATAAATCTCACACTGTTGCTCAGTAATATTAAACGATGACCACATTTTGAGCACAAACTATTGCTCATAATCATATCAAGTTACTCACTCACACAACTCTCTTGTTGCATTTATATACATGACTGGAATTGATGATTAGACATTTGAATAAAAATCAGTATGGGATAATGTACCTTCAGAAATAATAATATTAGTGTTATCAATCAAATACAATCAGATGAGAAATAAGACGAGTGTTTTTATAGTCAAAATAAGTTGAGTAACTTGTTAGAATGTTATGATGTAGGTGAATTGAAATAGAATTTTAAGATTATTTATTATCCTCCTCTGATTTGACTGACTGGTGGTAATAATATCTTCCATGCATATCTCTGGTATTTGCATTGAGTCATTTCTGTTGCATGTGTTGTGTTGGGTGTAGACTCACTTGATGAACCAGGATTGAGTAATCAATCTCTCTGTCCACCTACCTAGATTACTTTTTTAGAGTTTTAACCCTCTCCCACCATGCTATTGTGTGGTTGTGTGTTAATGCATGCATTGCAATTGCTGAGGCCTTTTCTAAATTACTTATCTTCTCGGGGTCAACCATTCTTCCCTTAGCTAAATTTTTATGTTCCGATAGTCTGATTACCCCCCGATCTACCAGTTTGACCTATATGGTTGATCTCACAGTCATTGCAGGGTATTTTGTAAATTATATTATTTTTTTAATTGGGTCCACCGGTTCTTTTAGCCTACAGAGCTTGTCTCTAATTTTTATTCAAATATCTAATCAATTCCACTCATGTATATAAATGAAGGAAAAAGTTGTGTGAGTAACTTGATATGATTATGAGCAGCAATAAATTGTGCTCGAAACGTTGTCATCAGTTAATATTACTGTACAACGAACACTGTGTGATTTATCAAAATAAAATCTTATCCATAATGGAGTTATGCTCTACCACCACAGTGCCCAAGTTTTATACATATATCAATAACCTTGAGGAACTCAACAGCCAATCACAGCAGACTTAGCGTGGGCAGATATGATTCATCGACCGGACTGTTTAAGGAACGGCAACAAACAGAAGACAGAATAACCTTCAGCAGGAAAACAACCAATAAGAAAACGCTGTTTCTCTGCTAACAATTACGCTAATAATAATGTACATAAAAATATATAAATATCTGTTGATTTTCTCAATAAACGATCTGTTGCCTGGCCCTTGTCTTTCGTTATTACACTAGTACTACCGTACCTCAAGTTGGGTTCATAGGTGCACACTATTGAAGACTTCTACACCAGAGCAAAACAGCGATATTTCATAATGTATATACATAACTTAAAGTACACACACATAAATCAAGATAAAACTTCATTCAAAAAAATCACACAGTGGCAAATGGCTACTTAACTTACCTCTCCATGTTTTAATCTGATGTTTTTCTAACTCAGTCATTGGTTGATCCGGTGAACGATAATACTGGTGTAGGATACGTATAAAATCGGTAATTGTCAGCATGCCAATATGTTTTTGTTCAGTTGAATCCCATAAGATAGCAACACGTACGCCGTTATAAACGAGAGCAAAAAATGCTTTTTTCACCTGTAAGAAAAACAAACAAACAAACGCACATATATATGTGTGGTGAGTGCTACTGATAAGATTTATCAGTAGTATATGTACAGAAAGAGATGTTCATCGTCAGTAGAAACATCAAATAACAGGGAGATAGATTGATTTGATGTCAGAAAAAGGAAATGATACAGCGTCGTGGAGATACATGGGAGGCGTGAAAGGAACACAAAGAAACACACACGCAATATGAATGAAGGTCATAAATAGCAGGCGCAACACCGAAGATCCGTGCAAATGGTGCGGCGTTGAAGATAAGGTGTGTACATAATTTGGCAATATATAGAGATTAATTTTATTGTTTCCTTTAATTCCTAGAGGAACATAGAGCTTTAGTCGCGCGTCTCCATTGCGTTCGGTTCTCTGCTACATTCTTCACCTGGCTCCATGTCTGCCCACACGCCTTCATCTCCTCTTCACATCACTTCCTCCAAGTCACCCTTGCACTGACGACGAACTCGCCGCTTCCCTTTCGAGTTCCACTCGAGCAATGGCTTGTCTAGTGATGTCACTCACTTGATGGTTTCCTCAGAGTATGGCCAGCCAATCCATCTCCATTTCTTCCTGCCTATTTCTTTCACAATCGGTTCCTGGTTGGTTCGCTCATTTCCAGAGATCCCTCACTATTGCTGATCTTTTCTGGCCGGCCATCTGATCTTGAGTATTGAGCGAAGACAACTGTTAATGAAGGTGTGTAGTTTGTTTGAGATGCTGTTTATGACGCGCAGTGCAAGTTTCTGATCCGTATAGTAGCACTGACTTCACATTGGAGTTGAAAATCCGGATGTTAATTTTGATACTGAGTGTTGTTGACCTCCACACAGACTTAAGAGAAATGAAAGCTTGTCTTGCTTTTCCGATCCTCGCTGCTTTGATATCCTCGTCAGTTCCGTCCGCCTGTAATTGAAACGGTGCTTCCCAGGTAGGTAAAAGAGGTTGCTTCTTTCAGGTTCCTCCCATTTATGCTGATTGTTGTCTGTTGTTGTTGTTGTTCTTGTCCAGGAATCTTCATCACCTCTGTTTTCTCTATGTTCACCTGAAGTCCTATCTTTGATGCCAACTTGTTGCTTTTCGCTTGCATATCTTCCAGTTTGTGGGAAATCAGTCATATATTTTTATATTTTATTTGGATTACAGCTTGATTCCACACCGTATTTTCAGTACAAGTATGGAATTTTCAGCATGGATATCGGTAGCCCAAATTTACAGGCTGACGACAGATATCGGGTGTGCGCCGGCAGGGGATGGAATGGTCGGCGAGAGTCCTAACCACTATGCCACCGACGCACATCATCGGCGAAGTCCAGATCCTCCAAGTGTTTTGTGTGAGTCCATTTTATGCCTGTTTCCTCATTGCCCGCTGTTTGTCGCATTATCTGTATAGAGATACCAGATTGCAAATAAACATTCCTTTTACCAAGTCTTTCGTCTTCTATCGTTTCATATGTGGATGAGTGGGTGGGTGTGAGAGGGAGAGAAAATCAGTGTGGACCTCTCACTTATTTTTAGGCAGCAGCACACAGTTGAGGAAGTGAAAAAACCAGACAGTATAAGAAAAGCAAGGCAGGCCTTCATTACTTTGAAAGCAGTGTGTAGAAATCTACTGTACCCAATGTTAGGAACAAGATGAAGATCTTCAACACTCATTCTCCAAATCAGTGTTTCCATAATATGGTTTAGGCAATCAGACTAGCGAAGCAGCATAAAAACCTAGCAGCAAAATCTAGATTAGTTGACCCGAATAAGATAACAAATCTGGAGAATAGTTCAGATATCTCAAGCACTACATGCAATTACACACAACCATACAATAGGATGGGATGGGATAAGATGACAGTTTTAAAATTTAATGTAACAGCGGGGTGAATGGAGGGAGAGATTGATAACAGAAGCTTTGTTTATCGAATCAACTGAAGAGAACTCGTGTAATAGGAATGATTCAACACCTGTGCAGTTGGATATCTGGAAAATTCTACTACCCCAAAGACGACAAATAGGAGAGGACAAAGAAAACTACAAAACTCAAGTTTCGAAGTTGTGTGGTTATAATTCATATGATTATGAAGAGTAATAAGTGAATTCTGTTCGAGACCTCGTCATCCAGTAAATAATACTGTTTCTCCAACTGTGTGATACATCTAATAAACAAACTAATATAGAATTACATACTACCACCATAGTACCCAAGTTTCACAAATATATTAATATAGTTTAGGCACTTAGCGCTGCGTGTCAGCAAAAGCTTTTGCGAGACGTTACTCGACTGCAGACTTTCATCAACATCTCTGCTTTCTTTGGTTGGATATTGTCTGTCTGTCTTTCTGTCTGGATTCAACATAGAACTTGGCACCAAAGTGCACCAGTTCGACTTGCCACGTTCCAAATAGCACACAAAGGTAGACAAGAAAATGAGTGAAGAGAATCAATAGAGTTTTGACAAGTATAAGAGTGAAACAGAATGAGTAATGATAGAAAGGAATATGAAAGATTACACGAGAGACTGAATACATCTGCGTAAGCCATTGACAGCGATTTTGAGCCATGTCACTTATTGTCTCCAGTCATTGATTCTTAGAGTCCCGAGGGCGGGCCCCAACCCGGAAGTCTGCATCTCTCTCTTTACCTGACTCAGTTTAACTGTCAAGCATTTCATGGATTGATGAGGCCATGTTTTTGTTTGGCCACCACTTACTCTTGGTTAGGCATGCGCAGCACGTGACCTAGCCATCTCAATCTATGTAACTTAATAGCCTCTTCGATTGATTTTCCCTCTCTGTCCAACACTCTACGCCTAACGTTAACGTTACTTACCTTATTATACCCCCTAACGTGAGAAAGAGATCGTAGACATCTATGATCAAAACAGTCAACCTTTTCATGTCTTCAACTCGTATTGACCATGTTTCAGAGCCATAGAGGAGAAGGACGGAGCGAACTGCTGAGCAGTACACACGTCCTTTGGTTGATAGCCGGATGTCACGCCTACGCCAGAGATGGTGTAAGTTAGCGAAAGCAGCTCGAGCTTTTTGGATCCGTGTTGAGATTTCGTCACCAATCAGTCCGTTGGTGCTGATACAACTTCCCAAATAGATGAAGTGGTCAACATGTTCTATCACTTCACTCCCTATCACTAAGCTAGGAGTTGACGTAGTCCAGTCCTGTAGCAGCATCTTACATTTTACAGAGAAGAATCGCATGCCAAACATACGAAGATTGCTGCTCAAGGTGTTCAGAAGACTCTGCATTTTGTCAGCATCCTCCCCTAACAGGACTATGTCATCTGCAAATTCTAAGTCCATAAGACTATTCCCTGGCAACAAGTCGATTCCTAAGTCGTTAAGTTCAGTTAAGGATACTTCCGTTAGCATATCTATGATGAAGTGAAACAGAAAAGGGGAAAGTGGACATCCTTGACGAACGCCACTGGTTGTTATCAATTCAGATGACAATTCACCATAAGCCCTTACACGGCTACGTCAGTTTGAGTAGAGTGCCTTGATTAGTGCAATGTACTTTCTTGGCACTCCCTTCACAGTCAAACATTGCCATAGTACTTTTCGATCCATGGAGTCGAAGGCCGCCTTCAAGTCAAGAAATATGGCAATTGTTGGACGCCTAAAAGTGTGTCTATGTTCTAGGATCTGTTGGAGAGTGATGATATGATCTATGCACCCTCTACCTAAAGCCTGCTTGATTTTCCCTCAAACACGTGTAATAGGAATGATTTAACACCTGTCCAGTCGGATATCTGGAAAATTCAACTAGTCGTACGACAAATAGGAGAGGACAAAGAGAAATATGAAACTAAAGTTTCGAAGTTATGTGATTATAATTGATATGATTATGAACAGTAATAAACTGTGTCATCCAGCAAACAGTAATACTGTTTCTCTGACTGTGTGATATATCTAATAAACAAACTAATATGGAGTTACATACTACCACTGCAGTGCCCAAGTTTTACACCTATATTAATACGGTTTAGGCCCTTAGCACTGCGTGTCAGCAAAAGCTTTTCCAAGACGTTTCTCGACTGCAGACTTTTATCAACATCTCTACTTTCTTTGGTTGGATATTGAAAAGCATTTGGCTAGCTAGAAAGGGATAGACAACAAGGAATGCAAGGTAATGCAACGAATCCAACCGAGGATCCTCCACCCGACAAATATGCCGAAGAAAATCGGGATGGATTAGAGACACACTCACACACAAACACACGCAGAAATGACCACACTAAGTGATATCAAACACCAACCCATCGCTCGAGTGGAACACCAATAAGAAAAGGACAAGTTGGGCGTAGATCTGAGGATGACAGCCAGAAGATGACGACCTTATTGTGTAACCGTGGAACCAGATAAACAAAAAATGGAACTACAGAGAACAGAATTGAAAAACAAATGTGCTGTTGGAGCCCTATGTTCCACTCGGAACCCAAAGGAATAACAACAGCAATAATAATTAATAATAATAATAAGTACTTACATTTAAGGTGACATCAAAAACCACCAGTTTAGCACTCAATGGGATTAAATCATAACAGGTATGATTTTTTAAAAATATTCTATAAGCTTTATCTGGATCAGCTAAAAGATCGGGGGGGGGGGTAGAGGAGATTAAGGAATATGAGTAAAACCACAAGGAATTCAATGGACTTACATAATTCTTCAACATGTAGAAATGAGGATGGACTTTCAGTACCCTAAAGAAACAAAAGAACAAACAAACAACCAGAAAAGAAATCAGTATTAGTTTGTAGGAATTTGATTGATTAAATTTTAGATTTTACCATCGATTGATTGGACCGAAGTGCTCGGTTTCAGGTTGACATGCCGGCTTCTTGTGCAGGTGCTTTGACGATGTCTGAGCATGTAAATTCGAAGTTAATTGGAGGATGGTGACTAGCAGTGGAATCTACTAGGATGCGCACTTCGACAGCAGACGAGTTCCAAATAGGATGAAATGCGCATCCTAGTGGATTCCACTGCTAGTTATCATCCACCAGTTAACTTCTAATTACATGCCCAGACATCGTCGAAGCATCTGCACAAGAAGCCGACATGTCAACCTGAGATCGAGCACTTCAGTCCAATCAATCGACGGATAAATCTAAAATTAAATTAAATAATTAATATGACCCGTTGCACAAGAGGTGGTTTCCGTGGCCCAAGTGGTTTAGTGGACAACACTTTGGCGTTTGGAACTGCGGGCAATGGGTTCGAGCCTCGGTGGTGAGGACATCATCACTCACTGGGGAATGCAGGTACATCCAGCTTGCTGACGAGTCCCTGGATTCCACTGCTAGTCACCATCCACCAATTAATTTGATTGATTGGTTACAGGATTTCATCATGAGTTGACATCGGTTGGAGAACCATTAGAAAACCATACAGGAATAGTGGACAGATGTTTTGTCCTAATGCTTGCGACTCTTTAGGATTCTAATGGGAAGTCATGACCTGCAGAGTACAGCAGGTCGGGTGTGAGGATGAATATCCGCCACTAGTGACATGGGCTGGTGGTCGCGCTATGTCGTGAATTGGCAGAAGTTAAAATTCATGGGACATTGGATCGAGCTCGTCACCTTGTAATCAGAAGGTCCTGGGTTCCAACCCCAATGAGGTGGATGCGTACTGATCAAGAGTCTCGAACTAGGACGAACCAGCTGTCTGGCAGTACTCCCTGCAGGTTTTCCAATGGTTGCCTCCAAAGCCTCAGGATGGTCGGGGGTGGGTGCCTTGCGCTGCGGGTTGGCCACTCCTCCGCACACCTCTTGAAATGCTCCCATATGACCGGGCGTCTTACATAGCCTCTCCTGAGGAAGTCCTACTCACTGCCTTCACGTGGTGGAGGTGTTTTTCACCAAAGTGAGAGGGCGAAAGCGAATGCCCGGCGCTCTTCACAGGGTTGACTGTCCATTGGATGACAGTCTAGGGGAGATGGCTAAACCCTGATTCCAAACCTCCAACGACTGGCGTACGAAACTCACTGGAGCTCACCGGCAGACATATGGACAAAGGGCTTGTTGGATGTCCTGGATGTCTGGTCCCATTCAAAAAGGCGTATGAACCGAACTCCGGTCACCGGCTGCCAATGGATAGTGGACTCCCTACTCCACTCCTACTGCCTTGTAGGTCACACTTGGTTGTGTAAAGGCTAGAGCTGCACTCTCAAACAAAAGGCGGCGCGATTCTGGGGACATCACTCGTACCAAATTCCCATGAAACCTCATGAACTCATGTTCATGAAGCCGGCTCATCCTCCCGTAGGAGATAGCCGAAGTAAAGTAAAGTAAAGTAATGGTTCTCTAACCAATGTCAGCTCTTGATGAAATCCTGTAACCACAATTATATTTATTTATCAAAGTGAACTGAACTCAAATGAACTTTCAAACTATAGAGTTAATTTGTAAAATCTCAGGGAGATTGAAATGAGTAATTCCAACGTTTCGTTCGGAAATCTGGTCCGAACTTCTTCAGGGAAATTGATCGAAATTAACATAACAGAAGTTTATATATAAAAGGAAAATCACTTGTTTTTAAAAACTTTGTCCAATCATGAGTCATTCAACAAGTATAATAAACAACATTTTATGAGCTGTGATCAAAATTTCACCTAGGACTTACAAATATTGGTCTACCCTTGTTAAACACTTTAAACAGAGTGTGTATGTGTGTGCGTGTGGGGGGGGGGGGTAAACAGTTGTAAAACATTTCTCAACGTCTCCATAAGAAGATATAGACAATCGGGAATTTTGACCAAGTATTATTAATTAGTGATACATATCCATTTTTATTTATTAATAAGAATTTGCTATGCATCAGCTAACACACCTCACACCTTCATGTCTGTTCAAACTGTTAATATCAAGAATTTTACGTGTAGACGTATATTTTCGAAATGATGGTGTTTAAGATTAGAGTTTAGTTTAAGCACCCTGTCTAACTTATTGCTTTGTCTTCTTTCTGAATATTGAGCTGCTTTATTCGATCTGCTGGAGTTGTCAGCTGACTCGACAGCTACGGATTTAGGATATGCATTCTGTTGCAGACAACAGAGAGTGAAAACACGATGATTGTGCCAAATACACAGTTTCTTTGTTAATTTAATTCGATTGCAAAATAATTCAAATGAACTGTCGTCAAGATTTGAAAGAATAGTTCTAAAATATTTGGGCGCCGAGTGAGAAGTAGACATTTGTAAAATCTCAGCGAGATTATATATAAACCTCTGTAATGTTAATTTCGATTAATTTCCCTGAAGAAGTTCGGACCAGATTTCCGAACGAAACGTTGGAATCACTCATTTCAATCTCGCTGAGATTTTACAAATATAATGTTCTTACAAATGTCTACTTGTCACTCGGCGCCCAAATATTTTAGAACTATTCTGTCAAATCTTGACGACAGTTCATTTGAACTATAGAGTTAATGCTGCCTACCTTAACTTCTAATTAACATTCTACACCTAACGCCAAGATTCCTCACTATACAAAAGCATGTAACATGGGAGATAGAACGCAGACACAAGGCTTCCAATATTCACAGGTCATATCACATAGAAATAAAGAAGGATACATGAAACTGCTGCATAGCACACGTGTGTCCTTTAATCGATAGACGGATATCACGTTATAAGCCATAAATGATGGAAGTTGACACGCACAACCCCTTCACTTCTTATCTTCACTCTAGGCGTCGATGCAGACAGGTAAGGAAGCTCTACGTTACACTTGACAGGGGGCGAATCACACGGTAAATATTCGAAGATTTCTAATCGATAATGTTTCAAAAAGACTCTGCAATCTGTCAACACCTTCACTTAAAAGAAGTATATCATCTGAATACTTCAAATGGACGATAGTGTTTCCAGGTAACAAGTCAGCCCCAAGGAGCTGAATTGGATAAGGCTTATATCTGAAATAATAATAATTAATAGTGTTCTCTGAGATGGTTGGTTTGTTTGCGGAGCTTTCGTCGTCCCACTTCTGGACAACATCTCTCTTCAGCGCCATATTTAGCACAAAGTGAAATGATTTAAATTTTTCCATGAGTGATAGAATTGCGTCTCCCGGTAACCATCTTCACATATGTATTGACCATTTTCTATTGACTTGGATTTTAAACTTTCTGGTCACCTGATTTACTTTTTATTAGTTGGTATATTTCGTCTATATTGATGTGTTTGTTAATTGCATATTCGTTTGAGTACCAAGCAGGCTTCTAGGAATTCTCTGGCACTTTTGGTGTTTCCTCTGTCTAAGATTTTGACATGATCCCAATCAAATTGATGACCATAATTGTCTATATGCATTGATGCTAAAGAATACATATCGTGTCTTTTCACGGCTGATTTGTGTTCTTGGATTCTAATTCGAAGGGGACGCCAACTTCGGCCGATGTAATGCCTGTTACAGTTCATACATGCAATTTATTCTGTAAATGGTATTAATTTTATCTCCTTTTTCTGTTGGATCTTTCGGTTTGCATAATATCGAATTCAGAGATTTGACTGGCTTGTGTGCTATACCTATTTCAAACGGTCTCAGTATTCTAGCTGTTATTTCAGAGATATATTTTACAAATGGTAGGATGAATTTTCCTGTGGTCATTGATGATGGTTTCTTGTTGTTGGTGTTTTCATTCGACTTTAAACACTTTTTGATGAAATTTTGTGGATAACCGTTCTTTTTGAAGACGGTTGTTAGTAGGTATTTTTCTTCCATTCTTTTCACCTCTGGAGTGCTACAGTATGTTTGAACTCTCTTTTGAACAATGTCTGCACACATATGTATATCTATTAGTGGCTAGTCGTAGAGCTCAGGACGCTCATCTCATCCTATTTGCTACTCATCAGTTGGATGTATGTGTATTACCGATGCGTGATGGTATTCCCCCCCCCCCCCATTGACATTTGAATCCAGTAACATCGTTTTGAACACCAAAATGTTATCCAGCAGGTGGTCACTGTGGGCCCCTACGAGTCACCTTCTGTGCAATCGATATCAGCTGATTACTAACATGCCAATATCACTAGTGAGAAAAATATACAAAACACGGAGGGAAGAAGGGTGGAGGTTAAAGAAGGGAAAGAAAATATAGATGGTCGTTCGTTTTTAGGAATCTGATTGGTTTCAAGTTGGATCACGGATTGATGCTTATTAGAGAACCAATGAAAACCAACAGGGTGTACTGGACAATTGTTTCGTCCCATTTCGGGACTCTTCATCAGTACGAACCCACCACACTAATGGCACAGATCGGCTTCATGACCTTCAGGTTTCATGGCGAACGTTCACTGATCATTCAAGTCCTGAGATGAAACTTGTTAGCCTATGAATTCTAGTCTCTATCAATTCTTGACTTTCAGTACCAAAATCACCTCGGCGAGTGTAAGTCCTCACGCCCTACCACCTACCTGGTCAACTCCACTGGTAACAACTTCCACCGAACATTTGAAAACGAATCTGATGCTCACTAAACACTAACTACCGGATGAAGTTGCCTATGGTTCTATTTTAAAGTCGTGACTAGTTGTGGGGGGGGGGCGGAGAGTCCATCAGGTCGAGTGTGATAACAAATATCCGCCAATGACACTGCCTGGCGATCACCTTAAGTATTGTGAATTGGCGGAAATAAGAATTCACAGGCCGTGAAATTCTTAACCAAGTGGCTAAATGGTACACGAATTTCGCCACGTGAT